ATGTGATGGGGTTACAAACTAGCAGTTCCATTTCTTCCAAGCAGTCATCAGTAACTGCAGCTATCTTCCTTGGGTATCCCTTATCCCCACTGTACCCGAGCATCCCAGAAGCTTTAATCACCCTGCAGAACACCCAGGGGAGGCAGAGCAGTGTAGAGACTGGTGGGGAAACAACAGAGGAGCTCCAGGTACAGATCCCCAGGGACAGGTATGCAAAAGGATGATTTAAAGTAACCGGGCTGTAAAACAGCAGCATGGAGCTCAGACAGCAAATAAGGAGCAAGATCCTACAAGCCTTAGGTGAAGAAGCTCTTCCCTGTGAGGGTGCTGAGGCGCTGGCACAGGGTGCCCAGAGAAGCTGTGGCTGCCCCATCCCTGGCAGTGCTCAAGGCCAGGTTGGACACAGGGGCTTGGAGCAAGCTGCTCCAGTGGAAGGGGTCCCTGCCCGTGGCAGGGGTTGGAGCTGGAGGAGCTTTGAGATCCCTTCAACACAAACCAGGCTGGCAGTCTATGATCCTATGAAACTGGGGGCTTCTCCCCAGCTGCAAGGGACACACACCCAGACCTGTCATGGCCAGGGACAGCCACAACACCCCAAAGGCAGCTTGTTCCTGTGGGGCTTCTAGATACTTCTTTTTGTTTCAGAACAACACTGACTGCACCAAAATTCTCACCTTTCTCTGCTATCTCTATACATTTTGTGCTATCGATCCCTTAATAGAATCATAGAATCCGTAGAATCCTATGGAACTTCTGCCTAAGAGCTCAGCTCAGTCTCCCCTCGGGCAGGTTCAAGCCATTCCCCTTGGCCTGTCCCTGCAGGCCCTTGTCCCAAGCCCCTCTCCAGGTTTCTTGTCAGCACCCCTCGTACATGCCACAGGTCAGGACACAGGGACGGGGACACTGACCTTTGTCCCCCCTGCTCCCCTGGCAGCACTTGGGGAAGAGCCAAGGCTTTGGTCTCAGCTGGGTTTTCGCATTCCTCACAGATTCCTCTGCTTTTTGACCTTCAATCTTTTGTTTTTAGACTGAGTTCTTTTTCTGGCTTACACAGCAGTTCTTTTCCTCGTTGTATTTATCTGCCCTTGCACCCTCAGCCAGAGCTGCACAGAGGCATTACAGCCCAAATCCTGCTTGGAGGCAATGCATCCTAAATCCTGCACAGAGTCAATACATCCCAAATCCTCCACAGAGTCAATACATCCCAAATCCTCCACAGAGTCAATACATCCCAAATCCTGCTTGGAGGCAATGCATCCCAAATCCTGCACGGAGTCAATACATCCCAAATCCTGTACGGAGTCAATACATCCCAAATCCTGCACGGAGTCAATACATCCCAAATCCTGCATGGAGTCAATACATCCCAAATCCTGCATGGAGTCAATACATCCCAAATCCTGTACAGAGAGTCAATACATCCCAAATCCTGCATGGAGTCAATACATCCCAAATCCTGCATGGAGTCAATGCATCCCAAATCCTGCACGGAGTCAATACATCCCAAATCCCGCATGGAATCAATGCATCCCAAATCCTGCACAGAGTCAATACATCCCAAATCCTGCACGGAGTCAATACATCCCTCCTTGGCCTCTGAATTGCCATGACCCTGAGCCCTGGCATCACCCTCATCATGCCTCTGCTTCCTCACCTCCCAGGCAGTGGGTTTGCTGTTTATCACCCTATTGTTATTTCTCCTACTCATTTCTGAGTCTCTGCTTGTTGCAAACAGGGGACAAAGGGCCCTGAGCTGCTATGTGGGAATACAAAACAGTCGGATCTTCAAATGGGTAGTGATGGGGGAGGCACCTCATCTTATGGCTTTTAAGCCCTGCTACCAAGTAATGTGATGGATTACACGGGGCACAGGCAATGGCCAGAGCCTCTCTATTTCTTTTATTGGGGAAGTTAACTAGGAACATAAAACCCACTTTATGTGCAAGAAGGGTGGGAGGGAAGGAGAAAATTTGCACTCTCAGAACTGGCTTTTTAACTATTATTTTGGGTTATCTCAAACAAAGGAGGTGTCTGTATGACAGGACCCAAATAGGACTGTGCCCAAGCCCAAAACCCAGGGGAGCCCATTTACTGAAGGATTGTCTCCTGTATTCAAGCAGGGATGCTCTCATTCCTCTTCCTCCTTGTCCTGCATAAAGAAACAGCCTCAGCGCAGGGCAAAGGCTCATGCAAAGCTTGGCTTCCAGTGGATACTGGGGATGCTGGGGAGGGACTCTTCATTAGGGACTGTAGTGATAGGACAAGGGGTAATGGGTTAAAACTGAAACAGGGGAAGTTTAGATTGGATCTAAGGAGGAAATTCTTTCCTGTGAGGGTGGTGAGGCACTGGAATGGGTTGCCCAGGGAGGTTGTGAATGCTCCATCCCTGGCAGTGTTCAAGGCCAGGTTGGACAGAGCCTTGGGTGCCATGGTTTAGTGTGAGGTGTCCCTGCCCATGGCAGGGGGGTTGGAACTGGATGATCTTAAGGTCCTTTCCAACCCTAACTGTTCTGTGATTCTATTCTATTCTACGGCACTGGGCATAGCTCACACACAGACACCGGCAGCACAGGGATAAGCAGCAACAAAGATTTATTTACAGCTTTGAGCAGTAACACGGCCACAGCGATGCACCGGGGAGAAACTCCAGGGAGAAGACTCAGCGGGAGACACCAGCAGAGCCCCGACACAGGGAGGCACACACACACACATACAGACACACATACACACACACATACACACACATACACACACACACACACATACACACACATACACACACACACACACATACACACACACACACACACACACACACACACACATACACGGTGTCTTGGGTCAGTACAAAATCACCATTGCTTTACAAAAGGCGCCAGGTTCACAGTAAGGTACCAAAGGGGAGCGCGGCGGTGAGGAAGGACGAGGGATGCGAGTCCCTGCTGGTATTTGGCCCATGAAAATGCACCGTAGAACGACTCCTGTAGAAAACCCCCACCCCAAAGGCTCCATGCATGCACACTCATGGGGTTTACACCTCCTGTAGGACTCAAGGCTTTAAAACAAGCGCTCAGGCGGCTCTCCTGGGGCAATGACATCTGCGAGCCCTGTCCTGCCGCCGGGCGCTGCATGCGGTGGCCGCTCTGCAGGAAGCACTTTGCAGCAGGGATGGATGAGACACAAGAGCAAGGAAAAGCAGGGAGCAGCCCCCCTGCCCGGCACTTGGCGCTGGCAGAGCTGCCTGCCATGGCCAGGCTGCTTTCATAGCCTAAAATCCCCTCCCACCATCGCCTCCTCCCCTCGTGCCCAACGCTTCAACAGAAAACAGCGCACCCGTTTCGGCTCTTTCTAGATCTGTGTTTAAAAAAAGCCCAGACCTCATGCGAGGGTCATGGGAAAATCTTGCTTAAATAGGATTTCATTGCAGGGTGGAAGATCTGTGTCATCCCAGCCCAGGAGCTCCGGGGAATGGAAAGGCCACGGGGACAGCAGTGATGGTCCCACTGCTCCCACCAATCCCATCGAGAACGGGATGCGGAGCCTCACCTGCATTTTCACCTTGACCCACAGGCAGGCAATGAGAAGCAGAGATCTCACTGAGCAGATGCCTGATGGCTTCAGGAGAGCACCAGGGCAAAGCTGCCTCTGTCAGCGAGGGCAAACATCAGGGGCTCCGCCAACAGCAGGAGGATGCGGGTGGCTCGGTGGGGATAAAAGCCATGCAGGGATGTGCTGAGGTTTCACCTTCACATCCCTAACAAAGCCAGTCAGCTCCCCCTGCTCTGCCATGGGGCCACTCTCCAAACAAAACATAGGAATAGTGACACTTCAGCAATTAACATTTGCCTGGGCTCCTCTGATTCGTCAAATGGGTGTTGTGGAGGGACAGCTTTCCTGCCCTCCTGCTGAGCCACCCACGGCAGACTGCAGCTTCCTGCAGAATTCCCCAAAATTGATGCTAAAATTCAGCTTTTTTTTCTTTTTTAACCTTTAAAAATACACATCTGGCTTTATTTTTCTTTAAATATATAGTCTATAAAATAAGGCAACTTGAGGAGACAAAAAGAGCATCCCCATTGCTTAGGTACTGCAGTCCTGCCACCAAGGAGGGTCACAGTACTTCCAGTTGAGACAAGCCATCCCATCCAGCCACAAAGCTCCTGCACATGAGAGAAGAGGAGCGACATGCTCATCAGAAGATGCTGTCAATGGTGGGAAGTGCCTGGGCACAGCTCTCAGCAGCCCCAGCACGTGTCCTGAGGAAGGGAAGGCTCTCATCCCTCTGGGGTTTGTGGCAAAGGAGCTGCTCCTGCCAGGAATGCTGCAGCAGGAACGGCGTGGGGAACACCCCATCTCCAGGGGAATTCAGGGACAAAGGCAGCACAGAAGATGGAATGGCCTGATTTCTCCCCAGAACTGAAGCACACATTGAAAGAGATCTTTGGGAGAAACTCTTATGACTGTATCTTGTAGTCAAAGCTATAAACAAAGGTAAGCACAAAGGAGTTCAACGCATCCCCAGCACAGATCCTGCTCGGTGTCACAGCACTGCATGAAAACTGGACTGTACAGCAGCTTGTTCTGACAGGAACTGCCTCTCTCTCTATGGAAGAAACACAAGTGTGTGTTTTACCTCCAAAGTCTTCCCTCTTTTACGTGTATTAATGCTGGAAATGTGATCTTCACATTCCAAGCTTTGTAGTGTACACCTTTTCCCTGTTGCTCTCCAGTTCCCACTGGGCTGGGCCGTGCTTTGTAGAGCTTTCTTTTTGTAAGAAATAAAGCTAATAGAAAATAACTTATAGGAAAAAACCCCACGAACAACAAACAACTAGAGAGGAACCTACGGAAAACAGCACTGTGGAGCAACAGGGTGGCACGCTGCAGCTCAAACAGCAACTGGGTTTGTACAGGGACATCATGGCAAACTGTGTAAACCTGGTATGGCCATTACCTGATCTCTGTGTGCACTTGACCATAGACAAGAACACTTCGTAGCCTCCAAAGAGAATAAACCCACCTTATTCCAGCAGACTTGACCTTATAGACAAAGACCTTTTCACCCTGGTACTGGCTATAACCATGTACCCACCGATGACACCCAGTACACCCAGGGAAGGGACACAAGATACCACACAGTCGCCTAAACTGAGCACAGCCCCAGCACCGCACAGAGAAACTGAATCCATGATGGAATCAACTCTTGGTCCTTGGACAAGCTGTTTAGTTCTCCTCATCCGAGAGGATGGGGGGGATCTTGCTGGAAAGCAGGGTGTACACGTACGGCCAGATCTTGTTGGTCTCTGTGCCCGAGAAGGAGTGAAGGATGCCCCTGCTCCTGGAAGAGAGATGGAGAGAGAAGTGACCACCAACCCTGCCTGAGGACAGGGGTGTTTGAGGGCAGGTTGCCCATTGGCAGGCTGGAAGCTCACCAATGGCTTTTTGGGTGAGAGGATGGGGATGAAGGGGATGAGCAGTTGTGTTCACTGGTAGGAGCCCAGCTGCACTCACGGATGAACCAAACCCATGTAACCACGAATAACCACATTACCCAGGACACAGCTCACCCTCACCCCCCTAAAGACCATTCTATAAAGTGCTTTACAGATGTAAATCAGCAGGATTTATCCATGTGCTTAAGCGAGTAGGAAACTCATGGCCCCAGTTCTCCTCCCTCCCCTGCAAGGGCACCTTTGCCACCTTCTGGTTTCATAAATGCTTCTGGGTGCTTGCTCCCGTTCAGTAGTGGATTGCCACCAACAGCATCCATCTGTTCCCAGCTCGGTCCCAAACTACCAGCACTGTGGAAGGGACAAGCCCTGAAATGTGCCTGTGCTCACAGTAGTCCCATCCAAGCCTCTTGCCAATCACCCTGTGCTTTACCTAAACTGACTTCTTGCCCTGTATGGTTTTTATAGGGTGACTGTGCAGCACACACCACCCTGGACCCGCACAGCACAGAGCTGCTCTCTGCAGCATCTCCATCCCCACCTCAGTGATGGCTCTGCATGGGCAGGGCAGGGTGTGGGGCACCTCAGAGCTTGTGCCTGGTTTTACGGTCACACTGTGGGTTATTCCACACGGTCCCACTCACTTGTACATCTCTATCACTGGCTTTGCAGCATCTTTGTATTTTCTGAGCCTGGCAGCAACGGCCTCAGGTCTGTCGTCCTCGCTCTGGACCAGCGGCTCACCCGTCAGGTCATCAACACCCTGCAGAAGGCAAACACCATCGAGGGGATGCAGCCCCAGCCCCATCACTGCAGCTCCCTCCCATGCTCTGCTGGCAAATGCCTTGTCCTGTTCCGCATCCATCGAGCATCTCCAGAAGAGATTCAGAGCAGCCCTGAGGAGAAGGACTTGGGGGTGCTGGTCGATGAGAAAATGAACATGAGCCGGCTTCAGTGTGCGCTTGCAGCCCAGAAACCAACCGTATCCTGGGCTGCATCCAAAGGAGCGTGACCAGCAGGGCGAAGGAGGTGATCCTGCCCCTCTGCTCTGCTCTCATGAGACCTCACCTGGAGCATTGTGTGCAGTTCTGGTGTCCTCAACATAAAAAGGACATGGATCTGTTGGAACAAGTCCAGAGGAGGCCACGAGGATGCTCAGGGGCTGGAGCACCTCCTGTATGGAGATAGGCTGAGAAAGTTGGGGCTGTTCAGCCTGGAGAAGAGAAGGCTGCGTGGAGACCTCAGAGCAGCTTCCAGTATCTGAAGGGGGCCTATAGGGATGCTGGGGATGGACTCTTCATTAGGGACTGTAGTGACAGGACAAGGGGTAATGGGTTCAAACTGAAACAGGGGAAGTTTAGATTGGATATAAGGAAGAAATTCTTTCCTGTGAGGGTGGTGAGGCACTGGAATGGGTGCCCAGGGAGGTTGTGAATGCTCCATCCCTGGCAGTGTTTAAGGCCAGGCTGGACAGAGCCCTGGTTTAGTGTGAGGTGTCCCTGCCCATGACAGGGAGTTGGAACTGGATGATCTTAAGGTCCTTTCCAACCCTGACTATTCCATGATTCTACAAATCCCATTTTCCTAACTAATATTTAGCATAACCCCTTCAGGCTGGCTCCCGAGGGCAAAGCCCTCCACTGCTCAGCACTCGCTCCCTGGGACGTCTTCCCCTATACTTATTTATGACCGCAGCTCCCACAGAAAAGGTTTCTCTCATCTCTTCCTCTGCGAGCTGCTCCCAGCCAGCACCACAGGGATGCCGCAGGCTCCTACCCGGACATGAGGAGGGTTGAAGTCCATGTTGTACACCCTCCCGCTGGCTGGGTGGACCCAGCGCGCGCTCAGGCGATCCTTCAGCGTCTCAAAGGGGATGTTCAAGCTGATGACCAGGTCCAGCTCACAGATCCTGTCCAGCGCCTCGGCTTGCCCCAGCGTGCGAGGGAAACCTGTGCAGACACAGCATCAGGAAGGGGCTGTGGTGAGAGGCAGGAAAGCAGCAGCGATGGAACCAAACCCACCGCCCCGGAGCTGCAGAACCAGCGCAGCTCTCGCTCTAGCACAAGCGGTGTGAGAGTCAGGCATCCACCATATGGCTGCAATAAAAAATAGCTCCTACAGCACTGACTCCCAAAATACATCACACAGGTCGCTGTGGGCTCATGTTTTCCTGCAAAGTCGTGTCTGATGCTGGGCTAGATCCCTGCGGAGGGGCTGGTGCTGGTGGAAGCATCTGTTCTTGCCATCAGACTGCAACAAGGGGTGGCTCCAAGCGGGTCCCCTCTTCAGTCTTCTCTGCTGATAACACCCTTTTTTAAATGTTTTTAATCTTGTAGGGTGCCCAGAGAAGCTGTGGCTGCCCCATCCCTGGCACTGTTCAAGGCCATGGACACAGGGGCTTGGAGCAAGCTGCTCCAGTGGAAGGGGTCCCTGCCCGTGGCCGGGGCTGGAGCTGGATGGATGAGCTTTAAGGTCCCTTCCAACCCAAACCAGGCTGGGATTCTGTGATTACCTCCATATTCACTGACCATTTCAAAGACATCGGCAGATTGGCAAGGGAAGGTTTCTACCCCTATAACAGCCATGGCTACACATCCCTACACATCACACCTGCCTGTGCCCAGCGCCGCAGCTCAGCGCAACCCATCCTGCCCCATCCCCTAACCAGGCCCCAAAGCAGGTCCTAGAGCTGCCACCAGCCCTTGCAAGCTCCCAGGCCACCTCCAGCACTGCACCAGAGCTGCTGGGATGCAGCTTCACCACTGAGGGCTGCAGGAGCTCCTGGCAAACCCTTTGAGCTCCTCTCACTGCTTCCCTTGCTGGTTTGCTCTCAGTGTCTTCTCCACCCACACCTCAGGTGGCTTTCAGGCTCGGCATGAAGAGCTCCTTTGCACACATGGGGAGGTGATCAGAGGTTTTTCTTGGCTTGCCTCCAGCCCCACTCTGCTCCCTGGCTCCGCTTTATGAAACACCCATTCCTTTCCCAGCCTTTCCCCTCTCCCGGCCACAAGCCAAGGGCTCAGCTGGACACGCACGTGCTGCTGCTTAGGGCAGATGTCTCTGCCAGCAGCTCAGCTCCCGCCTCTCCTTCCACGACCATCCAAGATCTCTTTCGTGGTGCTGCCAAGCCACAGGCAGCAGAACAGAGTTTGAAGGGAGCTGGGATGTTCCCACCGGCAGGAATGCCGGCAGCACACTCACCGTCCAGCAGCCAGTGCTGCTCTCGCCGCTTCTCCAGCTCCGTCATCATCATGCGTGTGATGACGTGGTCGGGCACCAGAAGGCCTCGCTCAAGGTACTGCTTTGCCAAGACACCAACTTCTGTTCAAGGGAAGCAAAGGAAAAAGAGGGAGAAAAGGAAAAACCCATGACATTTCCAATTAAAAACCAGCGCTCCCCCTCAAATTCTGCCTGTCCTCCCAAATTGCTCATCCAGGATGGTTTTGGCAGCATCCCTCTGCTCAGAGCTGCTGCTCCTGATAGCTGGAGGCCATGAGGTCCTTTTGGTGCTGTACAAATCGGAATGCTTGAAATCCCCATGAGGAGGAACACAACAAGCAGCAGATGAGCTGTGGCAGCCCTGCTGTCAATCGCACCCTCCCTGCCATGCCTGTGCACGCACAATGGTTTTGGAAACAGCACCCATGTGGTTACAGGTGGCACTGGCATGAATACTAAATGTCCCAAAGGTACTGGACCAGCAGCAAGGGATGTGCCAACTCCACACACCTCCAACGGTGGCACGGTCACCCCATCCCGGACCACAGACCTCGTTAAGTACAAACATGGAACCCCAGCCTGGTTTGGGTTGGAAGGGACCTTAAAGCTCACCCAACTCCAACACCTTCCACTGGAGCAGCTTGCTCCAAGCCCCTGTGTCCAACCTGGCCTTGAGCACTGCCAGGGATGGGGCAGCCACAGCTTCTCTGGGCACCCTGTGCCAGCGCCTCAGCACCCTCACAGGGAAGAGCTTCTGCCTAAGAGCTCAGCTCAGTCTCCCCTCGGGCAGGTTCAAGCCATTCCCCTTGGCCTGTCCCTACAGGCCCTTGTCCCAAGCCCCTCTCCAGCTTTCCTGCAGCCCCTTTAAGTACTAGAAGACAGCTCCCCATCCGAAGGGCTTTAAGACTTCAAAGCCTCAAGTTAATATACAGTCAGATAAGAAAATTGTTCCCAAGATGAAATGCTCGATAACCTCATTGTGGTGTAACTGCAATGCAAATATCCCTTACCAGGCTCCTGCTGGCTCTCCCCCACATCACTCAGCTGGAGCCAGCAGTGCTGAGGAGAAGCCCACAGTGGTTTCTGCACAGGTTACACCATGTCTGGATCCACCTGGCATCACCCAGGATGTAATAAGAGTTTATTCTGCTTATATTTTTATTGCAGCTGGGGTGGAGCAAACATTACTCCAAGGAGAGATGCAATAATTCCAATTGCTTCTTACTTACTGGTTGCCTGGGATTCTCTTTTGGCCACCCAGGGACACAAAGAAACTCATTGGAAAATGCAAATAGTCTTTACCACCATGTGTGACCTGTCCTGGTCCTGCCACAAGAAGAGGTCCAGCCTCTCTCCTCTTGCACCAGGACCCTGTGGACACCTCTGCTCTCTTCCCGCAGCAGCTGAAATAGTGTTTGTCACCAGAAGTTAACAACCCTGCAATGGGTTTGGGGAGATTTCTGCTGAGGACAGCACAGTTTTGCCCCTCAGGGTGTAGGAACTCCCTTACAAAAGCCATGGGTTCCTGCACTGGGAGGCAGGCTCTGGCTTTCCAAACCGCAGCGAGCTGTCAAAGCCAAAGGCACGCACAGCTGAACTCCTGAGCTGCAGGAAGGGGGCTTGCACAGCACACAGCTCCTGGAGAGGGCTCATCCCATCATACAGGGAACCCAGTGCAGCCTGCACGGGTCCCCTGGGAGCAGGCGGCTGGGATAGAATCATAGAATAGTTAGGGTTGGAAAGGACCTTAAGATCATCCAGTTCCAAACCCCCTGACATGGGCAGGGACACCTCGCTCTAAACCATATCACCCAAGGCCTCGTCCAACCTGGCCTTGAACACTGCCAGGGATGGAGCATTCACAACCTCCCTGGGCAACCCATTCCAGTGCCTCATCACCCTCACAGGAAAGAATTTCCTCCTTAGATCCAATCTAAACTTCCCCTGTTTCAGTTTGAACCCATCACCCCTTGTCCTGTCACTACAGTCCCTAATGAAGGGATGTGCACAGGAAACCTCTGAGTGCAGAGGCTGCGTGGCAGGGAAGCGGCGCTGCCAGCCGAGCCACGCTTCCCGCTTGGAACCCCACCTGTGTCCAACAGGGACTGGCAGCAGGCACTGACTCATGGGTCTGCAGGGCTGAGTCACCGCAGGGATGGGCACCACATCCCTGTCTCCCATGAAGGCATTTCAGTTCCCTGCTCGGAGCCACAGCGGCTGCCAGGCACCGGGAGCAGAAAATACCTTTTTCCAATGACATGTGCTTTTGTGTGTGTCGCCAGGGCTGCTGGCAGCCAGCCTGCCTGGAAAAGCAAAGGACACGGGGATGGAAAGAATACAGGATGCCTTATGCAACCGGCACAGAGACCCGCCAGGGCATAAATATTATCACATCTGCCTGCAGATTTGAACATTCATTCACATGGTCTGCACATTGCCACGGGCCTGCAGGGCAGAGCTGATCCCAGAGCACAGCCCGGGAGCCATGGAGCTGCAGGAGAAGGTCCCAAGGAACGCTGGCCATCCCAGGGAATCGCTACTGGAGCTGGGCTTGGTGCTGCAAACTGAGTTGTGAAGTCTGGAAATGCAGCTCTGCATCTCAGAGGCTGCACGTTCCCCACTGCCCTGATATGGGTGGATGGATCTCCACTGCTCCACAACAGATGGACGATTCCTGCTGCCAGGAATTCTGCTCCTCTGTGTGCCCCCTGTGTGCTGGGTCGACAAAACAGCATGGGGATGTGCACTGGGACAGAGAGGCATGCACCAGCATGGGGGAAAGCACGACCATGCACCAGCACAGGGTGCTGACTGCTTCCACACAGGTCCTGGAGGCTCCCCCTGCTCCAAAACACATGTAGCAGCACCACCTCTCCTCTCACAGAGGGAACGGGCACGTATCCTGCATGAAGGACCTGAGAGCTGCCTGGTACCCAGATCCCCAACACCCGGGATGTGCTGGAGAACATCATCCCTGCAGCACAGCCCTGCTCCCACAGTGTTCCTCAAGGCAACTTTATCTTCATCACAGGCTGCAGGGACAGGCCAAGGGGAATGGCCTGAACCTGCCCGAGGGGAGACTGAGCTGAGCTCTTAGGCAGAAGCTCTTCCCTGTGAGGGTGCTGAGGCGCTGGCACAGGGTGCCCAGAGAAGCTGTGGCTGCCCCATCCCTGGCAGTGTTCAAGGCCAGGTTGGACACAGGGGCTTGGAGCAAGCTGCTCCAGGGGAAGGGGTCCCTGCCCGTGGCAGGGGTTGGAGCTGGGTGAGCTTTGAGGTCCCTTCCAACCCAAATCCAGCTGTGATTCCATGATCTCCAGTTTTAATTTGTTATCCCCTTTCCAGCCGCACCAGCCTCAGAGCCCAACCTGCTCCATGCAAGCCCCCCAGTGCAGCACTCCCACAAAGGGGAGCAGGGCTTGGGCAGCCCTTCCTGACCCTGGTGGAAGATCCTGGTTCCCCTGTGTGAGGAGCTGGGGCTCACCCCTATTGCGCTGCCCAGCACCAAGGCAAGCAATCCCCATTGCTACAGCCGGGTGCAGAGAGGGGCTGCATGCACTGCTCTGCAGTTACGCCAGGTAGCAAGGGGCTCCTTAGATGCTGCTCATGCTGCCTAACCTGGGCTGGCACTGGGTGCTCCCAGGAGTGCTGAGCTCAGTGCAAAACAGCCTTTTGACTCATGGGCTTAATCCCATTAATCTAATGACCATGGGTTCAGTCTGCCCTTTAATGCATGGGATGTCAAGCTCTCTGTGGCTCCTTCCCCCGTGCGGCCCTGATCTGCAGCCATCCCTCCTTATAAAAGCAACAGCCCCAAGAGACATCTCCAGCCCCCGAGGCCATAAGCAGCAAAACAGCCACCCAGGACCGGGCTGGAGGAGGGGCTGTTCCCAAACACGGCGCTCGCTCGGCAGCCTCCAGCCCCTGTGTGATAGATAACCCCGGACACTCTGCCCAACGGCACAACCTTCAGCGTGATTCTGTTTTTATTTAGGCTGCAGCACACAGTCTGGAGTTAATGGAGAGGAGAAACCCTGGATGGTTAATAGGGGACTGGCCACAGCTGCTTGTGCACCAGCACAATCAAGCTGCAACGGCTCCAAACATCACCCCAGTTTTGGGACCCCTGGATCTTGCTCCCAGTGTGGATGATCCATCCAGGACCCTCACTCCCATCCCATCCCCACCAGCGGGATGTGACTTTGGGGAGCTGGAGCCTGATATGGCCCCAAATTCAGCCCATGACCTGTTCATTTGATGGACAGTGGGGTCTGTCTGTGGGGTGGCTGCTCCTGGACATAAAGGCGAAGCACGGACCCTATGGAAAACCAGAGGGCTGGCAGGCTGCATCTCCTGGGCTCAGCTCCAACCGGCAGCAAAGCCCATGACCCATGGAAAAGGTGGGGAGAAAGTCCATGGGGCTCAGCCATGCACAGCCCACATCCCCTCCAGCCTTTCTTCTGTGCTTCCTTTGGTTGATGCCAACAAACAAAACCCATCAGGAGGAGGGGACAGGAACCACTTTTGCCTCCAGTGAAGCACATGAAAGGGAGCGCAGGGACAGACACAAGTCCCACGTGTCTCTGGGGGGATGCTGACCCTCAGCCAAAGCCACTTGGAAAAGAAATCAAGTTGTATTGCAAATTAACTGCCGAGTCCTGATAAGACCCCAAGATGCTGCCAACACCAGAGCAACCCCCTGCGTGCTGGGGCAAGTACTGGCAAGGAAATCACTCACCACCCTCCAGCACCCCTGCTTAGCACCAGAATCAGTTTCTAAGCCTTCCAAGACCTTTAAAAAGGCCCTTTTCTGCAGCAGAATGGCCACTCGCTAAGCGAGACACTATTAACAGACAAATGTGTGATAGCCGAGGCACTCATAGGGTTGCTGTAGCAAAGCTTCAAGCCCTTCAGCATGCGTTCAGATGCTTCACCCGGCTGTATAGTGAAGTCCTGGATCCCCAGAGCTGCTGACACCCAAGCCTGATCCCCACAACCACAGCTTCTTTACGTCTTGCAATGGCAAGTGGGAAAATCCCCTGTGCACCGAGGTCTCCTCACCATCCTCAGCCCAAGATGACTCTAAAAGCACTGGACAGATGCATCCCTTTGGGGTGATGACTCTGAGACGATTCCGTTTGGAGCCAAGGCCCCCAGCTGCCCTAAAATGCAAATCCAGTGGCGCAGATGGTAAAACCCAAGAGCAGAGACTACTTGCACCTAGCTTCCCCTGAGCTGGCGCTCGGCAGCACAGTCCTGTTACAGCTTGTCCAAAGCAAACAGCAGAAAATAAATAGCAAATAGCTGCAGCTTACTGAGAGCCCTAACCAGAGCCTGAGTCAAAGGTGGGATGAGAACGTCATGCCAGCTGCACCAAAAACCAGGGCTCACTGACTTCTGAGCAGGTTTACCAGCATTTCTCAGTGTTGCTTCCCTTGGGAAACCGGAGTTACACGATGTGCTTTGGGAAACACCTCTCACAGCCCCCTTTTTCCTTCCCCAGTGTCCCCAGAGGAGCTCTACAGCACGAGTATGAACTGAAATATAGGATTGAGGGAATACGCTCATTTAGGGCTTGACTGCGTGAGTACCCAGGTGGACACAGAGCCTCCCTGCACTGCCCCGTTCGCTTTTCACGCAGGCGTTTTGTGCAGCAGCCAAAGCAGCCATGGGGATTTTCCTAAATTTGAGCCTCCCCCCAAAGGAAATAATATTGTCCCGTTTATCTGTAAAAGAACATCTGGGTATCTGTAAAGGAGCGCCCAGCGCTGGGCTGTGTGAAACGCCCTTACTGGAGCACACAGCTCTCCAAAACTTTACCCCTCCTCTGTTCTCTGCCTTGTTTTGTGCTGCTGCTGCTTCACCGTTCCTCTGCCCGGTGAGTCAGCCTCCCCCCTGGGTCAGTCTTGCACACGTTAGCAGAGGAGAGGAGGAACAGTTGGAATAAGAAACATGCTGGGATTGCCTAATGGATGCTGCAGAGGAACGGGAGCACAAGGTGGGGTGCAGCATGCCCACTCCTGAGCGTCGCCGGGACTGGGGAGCATCTCGCAGCACTGCCCGGGGCACGAACACAGCAGAGACCATCTGTTCTCCCCAGGGCTTTGGACCTGGAAGGGAGCTTCATAAGGGGCGGAGACACACACCAGCACAACAGAACGCCCGCTGGGTTTGCCACAGGGGCTGGTTTAACCCAGCGCACCACAGCACCCGGTGACCCACGGTAATAGTCCCAGTGGGATCTCCCCCGTGCATGAATGCACGTTCCCAACCCATCCCTTCCAGTGTGGTTGCACAGGCATCACCACCCTTTCAGCCATCTGCTCTCCACCGCTCTGCAGTTTATACCCCATTCCCGTACACGGGGCAAGCCGTGTCCCCCGCTGCCACCGTTAACCATCGGTGCCCGAGCAGACGGGTTATTCCTACCGGCTTCCCCGCTCGGCACGGGAACGAAACCATTACACACCGTCGGCTTATCACAGCACCAGACCCCACTTTCATCGGGCAGCCTGGGAGCTCCGGCTGGAGGGAGAAGGCAATGAATGAGCTGTGCCAACCTCACGGAGAGAAAACAACCCGGAGTGTACCCGGACGGGGGGGCTCCCATCCCCATCCTCATCTCCATCACCATCCCCATCCCCATCGCCGCCCCGCTGCCCTCCGTTGCACCCCGCGGGCACTCACCCCCGCCGCCGTCGAGGCTCTCCCTCAGGAACTGGCCGCTGGAGAGATGCTGCAGCCCGAAGCTGCGGGCGATCCTCTCGCACACCGTCCCCTTCCCCGAGCCGGGGGGTCCCAGCACCACCGCCCGCAACAGCTTGGAGGCCATGGCCGGCTGTCGGAGCCCGGCCCGGGGTCCGCGGGGCAGGACAGCTCGCCAGCCGGCCCCAGCCCCTCCGAGCCGTGCCGAGCCGTGCCGCTCCCCCCGCATCCAGCCGCCGCCGCGGCCCGTACACATCAGCAGGGCGGGGGGGAGCCCCCGCGGCCAGCACTGCCCGCCCCCCATCCGCCCGCCCCCTCGGGCCGCAGCACCCTGGGACTTGTAGTCCCGGAGCCCGCCCGCCCGCCCCAGGCCGCGGCTCGACGGGGCCCCCCATGGCACGGATCCGCCGCCGAGAGGGGAACGGCGGAGGGGTCCGGCCCCGGGGTTGACGGCTGTATAAAGGCAGCCGGCTGCTCTATGGCCGGTGCGCGTCCTGCAACGGGGCAGGGCAACAAGAGGCCGCTGCGGGGCTGACCCGCACGGAGGCAGTGCGGCCTTGCGGGGCTAAAAGCGGGTTGAAAACGCACAGGGTGCAAACGCCCACGTTGGAGCTGCAGTTTAAACGCAACCTGCAACCGCAGCCTTTGACAAGCGGCTTGCAAACGCGCATCCCATAAGCATTTGTTATCACGTCGAAGGGTCGGTCTGCTCCAAGCTGGTGACAACGGTGGCGGTGGGGATGTGTCGCTCATTGCGTGTGTGTGATGTCCGCATTGGGACGCCATGGAGAGGGGACACCCCCATTCCCATCATATGGATAACGGGAACGGGGAAAGCGCGCGCTTGTGCACCCACCGGGTGCCCCCGCCCCGGAAGCGGCCGTCACATGGCGGCGCGGCGCTGCCATAAACACACCAAGATGGCGGCCCTCACGCCGTCAGCCCGTGCTGCGTCATGTCGCCCACCGGCCCCGGCCTTCAGGTGGGTCCTTTATGGCCCGGTGCCGCCCGACGGGGGGGGGGTACGTGAGGGGAGGGGGGGAGCGGGCGGCGGGTTCCCCGCCGCCCGCTCCCCCCCCTCCCCTCACGTACCCCCCCCCGTCGGGCGGCACCGGGGCGCGGCGCTCCCCCGTTGCGCACTATGATTTTCTGGGCCGCGCTGTTTACGCGGGCGGGGCCTGGCGCTGCCGCTTGACAGGCCCCGAGGAGGCCTCTGGATGGGTTCGAGCGTTCCGGACGGACGGAGGGGAGACGGGTGAGGTGCGGGTCGGGGTCTGGTTCTCGGTTGAGGTGAGCGGTGAGGGGTGGCCGGGCCCGTTGGGGTTGGGGAAGCGCTGTCGATGGGGAGGAGAGTTGTTATGGGGCTGGGCCCCTCTCACACAGCCGCTCTCCCCGTTCCTCTTCGCACCGTTCTATCGTAACCGGCTGTTTCTTTCCTCTTCAGGGCTTTATTTCTGGGCCATAGCCCCGTAATGAAGGTGGAAATCAGATTTGCTCCCTTTTCACACCTCATCCCCCCGGCTCGTAGTTGAGACCCCGGGGGAGTGGCGGGCGTGTGGGTTGTGGCCGGGGCACGTCGGTAATCCCATCGCTGGGATGCTAAAGGAATTCCGGTGCACATAAGTAACAAAACACATCCCAAAATATGCAGAGTCGCCAGCCCCTTTCAGGAGCAGAAACTGGCAGCAAACACTGGAAACTCGAGGGTTTTTCTTAAAAGTATATGGAAATATGCAATGCTTTTGCAATCGCAAGGGCAAAAAGAGTGTGTTAGGCTCCAAAACTAATGCAGGTTTTGCTTATAAAGGGGTTTCTTTAGGGAATAATGGTGACCCTCCTTAGGGTTTTTGTATCAGGTCTGTGTAGCTTTAGTCTGACCAAGTAAAAATCAACAGGTGAGCGTGAGATGCAAGGAAAGGAACTGTGTGTGCATTGGAGTAAGAGCTGGATCCTCAAGAGAAAATGGCATCAGCCCTTAGAATACGTAACTGCAACCTTTGTGCCAGGGGGTGCCGGGCAGGAACTGTTCGCCTTTGTGGTCTCATAACTTCTGCCTTTAAACAGCATTATAGTAACTCCTGAGAGCATGGAATAGAATGTGGAAAGAGCAGTCAAGGCATACTGGAGCTATAAAATGACATCTCCTCCCGTCACTTCAGCCTGTGAAGCACAGGATTCTCAATGCCATTCTGTGGAAGTCAGTAGAATTTTTCTCTTGGAGTGGTGTTGTAGGAACACCTCAGAGCGAGAGCAAATGGTTCATTACTTACACAGCTTCAGAAGTCACCGTTGTACGTACACAGCCTGTTAACGTGCTTTACCAAGCTGTTGTCTCTGTTTTGTTCTAGCAGCCACAGACTCTGATGCTTAATCTACAAACGGTGGTAAATCCGTGCGTTTGAGGGGATGTGTTTAAGCACCCGTGCCTTACGTCAGGATTGTGTAATCTGTTGGCTGTCCCCCTTTTATGTAATGTATGTTTGTAGTTGGGTTTAAAACACACAAATGTTTTTTTCCCACTGCGTGCTTCCCTCAGATAGTTCGTGGTTGTCTCTCCGTTGCCCTCTGGAGTTGAAACCCTGCAAGACACCGTGTTGATGGCTGGAGCCCACTGACTGGTGCGTATTTCTCTCTTTAACAGCAGTCTCTGTAACACCTCGGGACGTGCTCTTCTCCAGGTGAGTTGTGTGGAGTGTTAGGCTGCTGCTGGAGTTTCTGCTTCCTCCTGGTGTAAACGTGAGAGCACCCTGGACCAGTGAATGCCATCACCACTCAAAATGAACTTCTGAAAAACTTAATCATACATTAACTTCTTCTGTAACACATTAACTTCTATTGTGTAAAACTGATGTTTTTGAAACTCTTTTCAGAACTTGATCTGTTTGATTCTCTTAACCAAAGTGCATGTGTGTAGAAATATTTCCATGATCTTTTTCAGCAGTGCCTGTTTTTAGGGAAGAAAACAGAAAAAGGGAAGGAGGTAAAAATACAGGTTGATGTAAGGTTGTAATGTGATCAGTTTGTGGTGGAACTGTTTATTTCACAACTTTATATTTGTACCCTATGACCTAAAAATGCCACTGAGCCTTTAGGCCCCTCATGTGCTTACTGCAGCTGCAGCCCCTGGTGAACACAGCTGGGTGCTGCTCCCCTCAGAGCCCTGGTGCTGGTGCTGTTAGCGATCCCCCTCCTCAGCTGTTGCAGGCAGTGTAGCTCCGTTAACTCACCTGGCTCTCTGCCATTCCCCCCAGTGACTGGTTGGTGACATTCAATACTCAAGCAGCATAAGCCAAATGCTGCTGTCTTAACTCCAGTGGATTTAAGGGGGAAGAGAAGAGTCCCCCTGTTCTCTGTGGTGATACCGGTAGAGCAGTTAGTTACCCCATCTCCATTAAATCCAGCATTGGTGGATGTAGCCAGCAGAAGCTACTACTTAAAACCACTTTGAGCTGCATTGCAGAAGCCACTGTAGTGATTAAGATAACAAATTAGCCAGATAATTAGTGCTGGACTAAAACCCCTGATGCAAAGCCACTTCTGTTGAACGCTCCTGAGCTTTTCACCTGGCAGATGGACACTGGTTGGGGTGATGCTGTGTTTCTGAGACGTGGAAGGGATGAGGAGGTGGAGGATGTGCCTGCTGGGCTCGGCAGTGTTGTGGAGGGGCCGCAATGACTGACAGGCTGCCCTGGCTCAGTTATCACAGTGCTGATGCTGTCTCTTGTAAAGGTACAGTACTGTGATAACTGAAGGATGGCAGCCATCTGAGCTTCTCTGAGCCCCATGGATGCACGAACGGCGCAGCAGCGTCCTCCTGAAGCAGAGTGTGCTCATTTTAAATGTATCCTTTGCATAAAAGTGAAAGGTTAATGTTGTCTTTGAATAAAATATTGAACTTCACTGAGAGTTTGCCTGGTAACTGACTGCTTTGCCTTGGAAGATGCATTCCAAAAGTGGTGTGCTTTGGAGATCTTCAACAATGGCTCAGGAAACAGGGCCCTGTGCAGCACAGTAAGGTATTGAAGAGCGGAGGGGTGGGTCAGTGGGTGATACTTGGTACCAGAGCAAATGTAAACAACTGTAGCAGCACAGGAAATAAAGCCTTTTTAAGATACTCTTTAATACATCTTGTTAAAGATACCATGAGCTTGGCTAGCTTGTTTCCTAACTCATTTTCATGTGTCTCAATACATGGCAATCACAAGCACTGCTACAGGCTGGGTGGAGGGTGGGTGGAGCTGCCCTGAGGAGAGGGACTTGGGCATGTTGGCCCATGAGAAGCTCCCCATGAGCTGGCTTCAGTGTGTGCTTGAGCCCAGAACTGCCCTGTGTGCTGGGCTGCACCCCCAGAGCGTGAGCAGCAGCTCAGGGAGGGGATCCTGCCCCTCTGCTGTGCTCTGGGGACACCCCCCTGCAGCCCTGATCCAGCTCTGGGGCAGCAGCACAAGAGGGACGTGGAGCTGTTGGAGCGAGTGCAGAGGAGGCCATGGAGATGCTGCGAGGGCTGGAGCAGCTCTGCTCTGGAGCCAGGCTGAGAGAGCTGGGCTGGGGCAGCCTGGAGAAGAGAAGGCTCCTGAAGGGGAGACCTGAGAGCAGCTCCAGTGCCTAAAGGGGCTGCAGGAAAGCTGGAGAGGGGCTTGGGACAAGGGCCTGTAGGGACAGGCCAAGGGGAATGGCTTGAACCTGCCCGAGGGGAGACTGAGCTGAGCTCTTAGGCAGAAGCTCTTCCCTGTGAGGGTGCTGAGGGGCTGGCACAGGGTGCCCAGAGAAGCTGTGGCTGCCCCATCCCTGGCAGTGCTCAAGGCCAGGTTGGACACAGGGGCTTGGAGCAAGCTGCTCCAGTGGAAGGGGTCCCTGCCCATGGCAGGGGTTGGAGCTGGAGGAGCTTTAAGGTCCCTTCCAACACTAACCGTTTTTAAGAATTTCTATGGAATAGGTGGTAGGGAATGGGCTATTTCAGTCTGATGAGTATGGTGCAGTGGCAGATAGCAATGCACCTGCTGGTACTGTCCCTTGCAGGGTTTGCCTGGCTTCTCTGCCCCGGTGAGTGACAGACTGCAGATTTCCTGGGTCATTTCTGTAACGATATTATTGAAATGTCCAGAAAGAAGGAGGTTTCTCGGGGGACTTGCTCTTGGTGGAGGCTGGTGAATTAAATGGTGTAGGAGTGGGGCCGGGCTGCAGTGCTGGAGCATGACAGCAGAGGGGCCCAGCGGGCCAGACTGCGTTGGGGAGTGTGAAATCCGAGGGGGGTTGCATAAAATAAGCAGAGACTTGTTACTGCAGTGCCTGTTCCCCAGGGCCCCCTCATCCCAGGAAGCGGATGGCCCTCAGGCTGCCGACGCTGGGGCCGCAGTCTCCAGCGGTCCCCATTAATTCCTGATACCAACATTAAGTGTGGGCATTGACCTGGTGGTGTTTAGGAATACTCTTCCTTCTGGACTGGGTGATTCATGGCTGTCCGGGGCTTTGCCCTGTGCTTCCCTGCACAGCCCTGGCCGCTCCGGGGAGAGAATGGGGATTAGCTCAATCAGTGCTCTGCTCCAACATGGCAATTAGATGGGTTATGTTACTCCTCTGATCGTCTTTACTGGAAGGGATCTGCCAGACAGTGCTGTTGGCCATGTCTGAGGGCCCAGACGGGGTCAGTGCTGTGCAGCTCTGATGGAACGTTTGCCAGCCTGCGTCATTTAACAGGGGAAATTGTTACTGCTGTTGTGATAGTGGCTTGAGCCTGCGTCTGGAGGAGGATTCTGGTGCACTCGATACTGCACGTGATAGAAAAGACATCGTGGCACCAAGTGTTTAAGTTCTAGATGGATTAAAATCTGAGCAGAGTCAACCCTCAGCTTCTTCTCTGCCTCTTTCCAAAGCCTGCAGGGATTTACCAGGGCAGGAATACGCTCATCCCAAAAATGAGAGATGGTCATCTCCCATGGCTGCATCCATTCCTCACTGTACAACAGCAGCTCCTCTTCCATGTGCTGTGCTAAGCTCCTGTTTTGGTTGTAGGATGAATGGGAGAGAAGGGGAGCTGTGGGATCTTGGGAGTGGGAGCATTTGTAAGCTTCCAGGCTGGCCAGGGCTCGATTTCATCTCTTTGTACCTATTTCTGCTGTTGTTTTAGGATCCAGCAGGTGCTCAGGAAATGTTCATCCCCTTTCCTGGGGGAAAGGCGGGCAGCAATGGAGTTTGGAGCTGGAAATAACGTGACGTTCAGCCATGTCCTCCCTCCTTCCCATAGCAAGTAAGGTCACTGCTCAGAGGCAGATAGGTTTGTTATGAACCAGGTCCTCACCTGCCAAGCCTAGGGTCAGATTTGAGGGTTAATGACCAACCTGGCTGGCTTAGAGGGACGTGCAGCAGAGCTGCTCACTGTGTGCTGGAGCACGCGTTGGGTGCTGGTGAAAGACAGCAAAGAGCGTGTTCAAATGACATGTGCCTCTGGCTTCAGGCTGTGCTTCTCGTTTCCTGTTACAAGTACAGCTCCGAGCTCTGGCATGGGACAGGAACTGAAACACTGTCTGTGCCTGAAAACAACACCTCTCCAACAAGATTTACTGGGAGCCCTGATCTTCCTCCCAGGCTGAGCGGATGGAGAGTCCATCTCTTCTTCCTGTGGCTTCCTACTGAGGTGATAATGGGACAGACTTCTGATAAATACGGGTGGGTTTGCTATGTCTAAATATTGCTGCACGCGAACAATGCAACTATCGAGTCTTTTTTGGCAGTGGAGCACTTCCTCCCACAAGTGATGTTAAAGCAGAGATGTAAACAACATGCACATAGTGATACATCCCATCACTCTCTGCTCACAAGGAAGGTCTCTGAGGCCCATCCGTTTTCTGATAAAGCTATCTGTAATGGATGGGTTTGATCCCAAGACAAGGCAGCTCGCTCGTGACACGGCTCTGCTGTCATTCCAGATGGATTTGTTCTAATCCGGTGGTTCTCAGGCTGTTTCATCAGGAAAGTCCCTTTTCCCATCTGGAGGCTGTCTCCTTCCCACCCACGTTCTGCATGAGGAGAGCAGGAGCACTGCTCCTGTGACATCTCCTTGGGGCTATGGATCTGCAGACAAGGGTGGCTGTTCTGTTCCTGGCTTTCATCCACAAATTCTCCTTTTAAGGGCCCCGAGCAAGCTGGCCAGCTGCTGTCAGGATAAAAGACTTCCACTGTGAGCCTGCACTCAGCCTTGAAACCAGGTGAGGATGTTGCCTTTCCCCAACATGCTGGTTTTTAAAGGCTGTGACTTGTGTGACTGTTCAGAGTGAAGCATCCATACTAAAAAGCCTCAGTTTAGCAGCACTAAAATAGAAAGGATCCTTCCCAGCAGAGTTTCAAGCACACACAGTTGTTGTTTCAAAGTCCAGAGGTGCCCCATAGGAATCAGGCTGTTTTAATTACTGTTCATTCAGATTTCCTCTAGCTAGTGCAGAGCAATTGACCTTGAACTTTAATCCAGACCTTCTTGCTTAAACATCTTTACAAATCAAGTAGCCCAATTGCAGTGTCTCGATATGTGCACGTATTAGATGTACCAGAAGGTAACTCGGTTCTGGGTCAGGTTAGGCAATTCCTGAATGTGCTGGTTTGGGCTGGGGTGGAGTTAGTTTTCTTCATAGTAGCCAGTATGGGGGCTATATTTTGGATTTGTGATGAAACCAGCATTAATGATGGAGAGATGTTTTCATTATTGCCGACCAGTGCTTACACGGAATCGAGACACAGCCTGCTCCTCACACCACCCACCAGCAAGTAGGCTGGGCTACACAAGGAACGCGGAGGGGACACAGGCAAGACAGCTAATCCCAGTTGACCCAAGGGATATTCCAGACCATGGGACACCCTGCTCAGCATATAAAACCGGGTAAAGAAGGAGAAAGGCATCTGTCCTCTCAAGTCACCATTACTTGTGAAGGAGATCTGCTTTCCTGATGGCTGAACAATGATCTGTCAATCTGTCAAGGTGGTGAATGAATTCCCTGTGCACAGCTTTTGCTTTTCCTGCCCTAGTGGAAGGTGTCCCTGTCCGTGGCAGGCGTTGGAACTGGATGAGCTTTAACGTCCCTTCCAACCCAAACCATTCTATGGTTCTATGATTATCTCAACCCATGAAATTTCTCACCTTTACCCTTCTGATTCACTTCCCCATCCCACCAGCGGAGACAGTGAGCAGCTGTGTGGGGCTCAGTTGCTGGCTGGGGTTAAACCACAACCCTGAACATGACCCCGGGGATGCTGGACAAAGCAGAATGGAGAAAAACAAGTTGAAGACGTTGGTGCAGCCTGTGTGATCAGAAACGCCACCAGCTCAGCCATGCAACATCATTCCTCATCAGATGTGGAGGTGTTTTCGTGCATGCCAGCTCCAAACACTGCTGTTAGAGCACCCTGCCTGCAAAATCTCATGAGCTTCACAAGAATTCATTCATTACAAATGTGCTCAGCTCAGCTGTGGTATTAGCTTCACTTTCTCAGAGTCAGGTGAGATCAGTGTGTGCTCACTCCTTTTCCCCAGTGAGGGGTCCTTTCCCACTCAGTGCAAATGCTGTGTAGGAGCAATAATGGCAATTACGCGTGCCTGTTACTGGGAAAAGCAGTCTCCAGAAGTACTGTGTGATCAGGGGATGACACCATCATTTCTCTTTCCTGCATAAGCTGTTTCTGACTGTATCTCACATTTAGGAGATAGCAACTAGCTGAGTTGTTGGATAATATCTAAACCTCATGTTGTTGTCATTTGCTTGATTCCCAAAGGGAAAATGTGACTTTAATTGATGCCTGACTGGGGACAAAGCCACTCACTGGGAACGGAGTGTTTCGGTGTGGTGCAGTGTCAGAGTTGCCGCTGTCATTGCTGTATTGAGACAGATGATAGTGTCAGGGTTGTGCAACTTGGTACATAATTTGCTCCTCATAACATTTCACAGGAGGAGGAGAGGGGCATGGATCTATGTGTGGATTAATATACTCTTACATGAGATCATGTATTTAAGTTGGGCTACTGTTACAGGCTTTCTGGGACCTAACACTGCTGGAGCCAGAGGAGAGACTCCTCTTGACTCCAAAGGGCTTTGGCTCAGACTTGTACTTCAGATCATAGGCAAACTTCTGATCCCAATCTTAAGCTCCCCATTCACTTCAAGAGGACAAGAGCTGCACTTTGTCTGGGTTTTGTTTGGTACGCAGGGATGTGTGCCTGACACTGGAAATAGCCTCATGCAGCTGTAGCAGAGAACAGGGTAAAAAGGAGTGTGAGGCCACTTGGGAGGGAAGCAGCTCTTGGTTTGGGTGGTTCCCTGGATAGTCTGGAATTGGACACTGAGCCCCAAACACAGCCCAGGACAGGTCAGTCCCCAGTGCTGTGCACACGTGATCTCCTTAAATTAAGGCAAAATCATTAACATTTGGTGCTGTGCTGCTGCTGGTCAGTACTGAGAAGCTGTGGCTGCCCCATCCCTGGCAGTGTTCAAGGCCAGGTTGGACACAGGGGCTTGGAGCAAGCTGCTCCAGTGGAAGGGGTCCCTGCCCATGGCAGGGGATTGGAACTGGGTGAGCTTTAAGGTCCCTTCCAGTAGAAACCATTCTGTAATTCTATTGCCAAGGGAGCACAGAAGTTATGGGGAGGCAGCTTGTGGTGCAGGAGGGGAGGAGAAGGCAAGTGGTATCAGCACTCCCTCTGCTACAGTTTGCTGCCTCCTCCCTGCAGTGAATGTGAGAGCTTGCTATCGACTGCCCTCCATTTTAATTAAGTCCAGGAGCAGGCACAGTACACTGAATAATTCAAGAGGGACATGTGTTTAAACACTGGCAAAGCTTCAGATTCCACCCAAAAATCAGTCTGTGAGAGAGCAAATGGATCCTGGTGAGGTGGTGGTGGGTGGACAACAGTTACGGATCACATCCCAACACCTTTGTGTTGCTCCAGCCAAGAAGATGCCATCTGTGGCTCCCGTTCTTGCTGCTGGGACAAACTGGGGCTGATGGTGGTAGAAAGTTCATGGCAGTGAGTCAAGGGCTGCAGGCACAAGGGCAACACCAGCACAGGCAGTTTTGGTTGGTGGCAGAAAAGAGCTCATAGCAGAGAGTTCTGGAGAAGGGGCTGGTAGAGGAGTAGGTGAGGCCAGTAGCAGGGCTCAACATCAGCAGTTATAATGGTTACTCTGAAGTTACAGGAGTAGTGGTTTTCCATAACTGGGAGTTTCACCTCCTGCGTTTGTTTTCTCATAAAGAGAACATGCCTTTAACAAAAACACACAAGCAAAACCATGAGCACACAGCTGCCCTTCAGGGTCAGTGTTTTGGAGCTCCAGAGCAGAAGTGATCCTTCCAGAGGGAAGTGGATGAGGAGGAGTCAGTACCTTTCCTGTGGAAGCTCATTGATAAAGGCTGCACCGGTTCAGATGGGCGCGGATCAGTCGGGACAACGTGAGAGGCTCCATGTCCGTGTTCCTGATGCGTGGCTGGGTTACCTGCTGATCTGGTGTATTCCATGTGCAAGCAACTTCCTTAAACGTGTTGCCTTCATGTTCCCAGGGTGATAAAGAGTCACATGTTTGTTTCAGAACGATTCCCACCCAGGGCAGAACAACAACATCCCAAGGCAACGTGATGCTGCCCCTCCAGCATCCAAAGCCTTGCTGCATCCTGCTTTGAAATGCACTGCTCTAGGGGACCCTGGAAATGAACATTTGCTAACGAAGGCTAATTAATGTCAGGTGTAAAAGTGGCATCCTGCTGCAGTTGCATTTGCCTTCTTATTAAAGGAAAACTCAATCACAATCCACAGTGGGTGTTTTAGCTGAAAATTTATTAGAGGAACACAGTGTCTGTTTAGTTCCTTCTTAGTCTAAGGATTTTTCACTTGTTCACCCCTTTAACTCAGCTAAGTTAATGTGCCACAGCCTTCTAAAACAATCACATGGAATATAGAGTTTCATTTAAAGGAAATGAGGAAAACCAGTTACATAAAATGGGAGAAAAATCCTGCTTTTCACCTCCACAGGTTTCATGGAATGAAGTGGCAACATCAGCTGTTTTCACCAGATACATTGCAACCTGAGTGCTTTCAGTCCATTTGAACCCCATAGCTAACAATATCCAAATGCACTGTAGCCATTACCCTCTCACTGTAGGCTTCGCCATTCCAATGCAACCCTTGCTCTGACAGATCACTGACATCTTTCATTTTTCTCTTCCCATTCCCTCTCACAACAGCCCCATGGTCCTGCTGAATCCATGATGCAGATGGTTAAGCAGCACAGCAGGGTGAAGGCAAAGTCAGGGGCACTAAGCTGCTGATGGTGATACTACTCATCCTTAACGGGCTTGGGAAGAAGGCCACATTTCTTCGGGTCTGGAGTTTGCTTGCCCTCCTGGTTGTATTTCTATACCCTCTGTGCCATTATGAGCAATGTGATCTTAATCCTCTATCTCCATACAATGGAGGGAGGAGGAATGTAGCAAACCCCACATAAAAAAATGCTGTTTTTTAACACACACCAAGGAAATGGAGTTCCCAAAGAGCACATGAGAAAACCAGGAGTGACAGAATGTGCTTTGGAAGCTGGCCAAGCAGGACTGCACATCCTGCCTGCTCGTCACTTGTTAAAGATCCCAGACATGCTGCATGCTCTACGTTACGTGTGTTCTCCTGAGACAGGGGCATCTGGATGCAGGACACTGACCTGAGAATTGCCCCCAGCCATGTAAACAAGCTCTGGGGTCTGTGGAACGTGAGGGATGTGGATCAATGGTGTGCATCATTCCAGAGGGGTGAACGCTTTGGTGACAAATGTGGCGTTTCCAACCCTAAAACTTGAACTAGAATTAAAGCCAACGTTAATTATTGCTCTGGTTGAGGTCAGTCTCTGCTTTGTCCTTCCCCTCCAGTTCCAGTTAGTGCCAGACTTGTCCTTATAAAACCAGCTGTTGCACATGTAGCTTTTCTGGGATTTATATATATATATATCATATGTATTTATATATATGGAACTAGTATATAAGCAAGTGTGTCTAGCTCTAGTGGTATGGCAGGCAGGGAGCCAGGCAGCAAGTGGGTACATGTGAACTGTGCCAGCACCAAACTCATCCTTCTGGAGATGGCTGTGCTGGAAAATAGATGAGCTGAACAAAATGCATTTGAGGATTGGGCAGTATTGATTTGGCTTTCTGCCTTTTGTTAGTCTGCTTAAAGCACAATAAAAAAGTCACTCACCGAATTTGACTTCAGTGGAGGGGGGGTCAGAAGTGGATTTGGAGCTGGCCACCATCACCACCCTGCTCCATTACGTCTCAGAACAATGATGGCTGAGACAAGAAGCCAGGGCTGGAGCAGCTCTGCTCTGGAGCCAGGCTGAGAGAGCTGGGCTGGGGCAGCCTGGAGAAGAGAAGGCTCCTGAAGGGGAGACCTGAGAGCAGCTCCAGTGCCTAAAGGGGCTGCAGGAAAGCTGGAGAGGGGCTTGGGACAAGGGCCTGTAGGGACAGGCCAAGGGGAATGGCTTGAACCTGCCCGAGGGGAGACTGAGCTGAGCTCTTAGGCAGAAGCTCTTCCCTGTGAGGGTGCTGAGGCGCTGGCACAGGGTGCCCAGAGAAGCTGTGGCTGCCCCATCCCTGGCAGCCCTTTAAGGTCCCTTCCAACCCAAACCAGGCTGGGAATCTATGATTTAGGCTGCACTGGTTGCAGTGTGCCAGCTGCCAGGCCACAGGCACTGGTGTAACTCCATCCTTTGCAGCTGCCCTATAGCTTTTTACACAAGCAGTGTTTCTGGTGCACAACAACTGCACATAAGGTATGTTTTTCAGTAGAGAAATTTGGGGGAGAAAAAAAAATGCTGTTGTTTTGGCTTGTTAAGAGAACAATGAAGAATCAGAAAGCTGGCAATGAGAAAACAGCCGAGGAAGGCAAGCAGCAACACGAACATGCCTGATGCAGGACGGCATCAGCATCTCTACTCTCCCAAGCCTGGAGCACAGCGAGCGAACTCCATCCCCCTGGGAAGTGAAGTTGGGAAATAGAGCTCCGTGTTACACCTCCTCCATGCTGCTCTGCCAGCCTGCTTCAACCCTGTGCAGGAAATCCCCCTGCAGCGTGGCCTCCTCCAGCAGCTGCCACGGCACCCTCAGAACAAGCACTGCTTTGGATGGCCAGAATTTCATCATTCCTTTGCGAAGTAAATTTGGGATAGTGACAGGAAGGACCTCTCCTTCCCCAGGCTGAGATTATTGGAAACCTCTCTTGGTTTAAAAAACCCAAGGGGTTTGGCACCATATTTAGTAGTAGTTAATTACGAAGGAGCAATTCACACATTCCTGATGGCTCAAAATAAACTCTCTCACTTGCCTTTCCAAGCAGAGACAAGCACTCTGAAAACGATGGCACAAACAGGGGTTCACCCATGTTGTGTGAGCACAGGAAGTTTCAGATAAATTCAGCAGCAGATCAGATGAAAGAACTTGTGCTCTTGCATATCTATTTATACAACTCCTGTGGCAAGTTTCCCCCTCATCACTGCAGCACCCAGGGGCCTCACAGGCTCTCAGATACTCATAGAAGCAGTCATAGAATGGTCATACTGAGTGGTGATGGTGTGATGGGGAGACACAATGGGGAGGAGGAGGATGTAGGGTGAAGTCACCCAGCCAACAAGCACCCAATGGGTGGTTTGGAGCACCGAAGGTTGTTGGTGTGTGAGCCCTTTTGCCTGATCCAACTGCATGCTGCCTGATGGCTGCTCCTTCTGCTCCTGCTCCTTGTGCTTCTTCTGCTCTTTCTGTACCTTCTGCTCCTTCTGCTTCTCCTGCTCCTCCTGCTCCTGCTCCTCCTGCTCCTGCTGCCTGGCTGCTCCCCCAGCTCCAGCCACAGGCTGAACCAAACCCTGTGTAAGAAAAGATAACTCCTCAGTGAAAAGATCAGTGTTATTGATTTCGAGGCAAAGATGCTCCACTTGCTCTGCTTTGTAACTCCTGCTTTGTTTTTCCTGGGGATAAAAATGGAACGATGCTTTTCTTTGGGGAAAAAATAATAGTTTGAGAAATCAATTCTAATGTGAGCAGCACTGAATGCAGCCTGACACTCTGCAGAAGCATACAACAGCATGAAGTATTACCCTCAGAATACTTTCTAATGCTATTGCAGTTTAAGGCATTGCTGGCATTGGAAGTCAGCAGCCCATTTTACACATCACACAGCACCTCTGGCTTCATTACCTCCTCCTGATTTTCACGAGTCCGTTTGAGAAGAGCCAGGCTCCAGAAGTACTGCCAGGAACAAATCAATGACAAACTCAAACCACTTAGATAGTGTTAAATCACATTTAGGTAAAGGTCCAGTCAATCCCAGGCTGGTGGCGTTGGTGATTTAAAGCACTTTACCATATGCAGGGCCCCTCACTGTACTTTGAAATGCCACAGAAAAAGGGTTTTTAAACATTTATACTGTTTAAAGTAGTGTGGAAACATCCCCATTTCAGAGGCAAAGGTGGAGTTTGGCTTCTGGAAGCTTCAGAACCAAACTGCAGAGCAGGCAAGGAAAGGATAATTCCTGCATCCATCCCTCGCCCTCCTTTAAAGAAGGCTCCAGGAGAGAATCTGTTTGAATTTGACTTTCATTCCACAAATAGCAAGGCAATCATCCGTATTTTGGCCTTTTTTATGGTGGAGGGTATCAGTGCATCCTGGAAGTTACAAAATAAAGAGCACAATAATTCTTCTGCCCCATCACTGCACCCTGGTACAGTGTTTACAGGGGAAAGAAAAACTTACTGTGCATCAAAGGCCTTTTTGCAGCTCTTTGCAAGCCTGTTCTCTTTATGAGCAAATCCATGTGATAAACTCCCCAGAGAAAGCTACTTTAAAGGCTTTAATGCAAAATTACATCTTTCCCATGGGGCGGTATGTTGTGGTAAAACCAGACTGGTTCGGGTACAGGCGGGAAATGATCCCCTGTTATTAACATAGTTCTTGGAGTCATTTTTAGAAGCGCATCGATCTCCCCCCAGTTACATGTCAGAGAACAGCAAGTAATGTTGGGCACCAGTGTCCTCCCATAAAGGAGGAAAAGCAGAAAGCTCCCATTGCAGGCAGGAGCAGCAGACCGAACACACCATTTCTGTGGGGCTGGATGTGCCGTAGGAGCTCAGCACCATTCTTTGAAGTGAGGTGGTGAGCCTGTAAGGGTTCAATTCTCACTGGAAGACAGATCCTTTGGGAGCCTGGGTCATTCCTGGACATGGTCTTGGGCTGTGGCACCCATTTAGATGGAGGCAGAGGTAAAGCTGCTCTCCCCTGAGTTGCTGCAGCCCAGAGCAGCCCCAAGCTAAGCCCTTCTGTGACTTCTGTCACAGCCACCTCCTTGGCTTTGATTTGCAGCTCTGAGCTTCAGGGTTTAAGGACATTCACAGCATCAGTTGCCGTGCTGGGAAACAAACCCTGCCTGTAAATAACAATAAAGATCTGGTACGTTATTTGGCATGAAAACCCACCAAGAAAACCTGATTTTACCATTATAAAGGCAAAGCCATGGAAAGGGCTAGCAAAAATGAAACCTGGTCTAGGGGAAGGTGTCCCTGCCCTGTCCCAGAGGATCAGATGATCTTGAAGGTCCCTTCCAACCCAAAGCTTTCTAGGTTCTATATTCTGATTCTAATCAATGGAACCACATCCTCTGCAGGCAGATCATGGGAAGCAGGGAACAAGAAATGGTGGGACCCGAGAGCTGTGACACAACCACACATCTGCAGGTTTTGACCTCTCTCCCTCCAACCTCAGGCTCTTTCCTAACCTGAGTTAAGATTACCAGAGTGATGGAAACTGGATGAGACCCCACAGTGCATGGTTAATCCAGTCCCAATAATGCCGTGTGGCTGAGGAAAAAGGTTAATATGCTGCTGAAGGTTAAATTATGCTCTGCTGAATCCCTGACTGCTGTGGACACTGGTGAGGTAGCGCTGGTTTGTTTCCACTTGGGAGAGGGGAAAGAAATAATCAATGATTATCTACCTTTAGTTTGTGAACCTCAACCACCCACTATAGAATCATAGCATGGTTTGGGTTGGAGGGACCCCTTCCACTGGAGCAGCTTGCTCCAAGCCCCTGTGTCCAACCTGGCCTTGAGCACTGCCAGGGATGGGGCAGCCACAGCTTCTCTGGGCACCCTGTGCCAGTGCCTCAGCACCCTCACAGGGAAGAGCTTCTGCCTTGTATCCAACCTGAACTTCCTGTGTTTAAGTTTAAACCCAGGCAAGGTCTAAACCTAGTCCTATGGCTTCAATCCCCAATGAAGAGTTCCTCTCCAGCATCCTCGTAGGCCCCTTTCAGACCCTGGAAGGCTGCACATGCACACATGTGCGCCTGCATGCAGTCAGCTCTTGCCTCCCAGCTCCAGTGTGGGAGATGAAAAGCTTTGGGTTGATTTCCTAGAGCTTCAAAACTCACCACTGCTGGGGCACAAGCTGGGGCAGATGAGCTGGGACTGATGATCTGTGTTGGCATCTGAACACTTTGCAATGGCAATGGGGCTTGTGCACCCAAGAAGACCTTGATAAAAAGATGTTATCAGTGTGCTCTGACGACTCTGAATAACAGGAACCATTACATTGAAAGAGGGCACCTTCAGCAGAGTACTGGAGTTTTTTACTGACCGGTTCAGATATTAGGCCAATTCTCCCCAAAAGCAGCACCAGATTGGTTCTTATTTCAGAATAAAATGCCAAATACATGGGTGGGAGGGAAGGGGGAAATAATTTTATTGAACTGAATCATCTTCTAGCTGATAACTTGTGCAGCTTCCTGCGACTTTGAGAAGAGCTTGAAACCGCAGTGCAGAAACCCATTTCTCTTCTGTGCAGAGGGGAGAA